CAAGCATAATCATGTTTTGCCGGCAGGAGTCAAATTGACACGCTGAATTATTTTCCCCTATTTTTGGCACCAAAAATGGGGGAACAGTCCCCCCTCGGTCACTGTCCCGCTGGGCCTGGGTGATCTGCGCACAGAGGTCAGCTGCTTGCATTCGTAGCGCGTCCTGCTGAGACTCCTGTAGTGCACGCTGCCCCTGAAGCTCCTATTCATGACTGCACCCCATGTTTGCCATTTCAGTGTCCCTCTCCAGCAACTGCGTTTCGAACTAGGCAGACTGCAGCTGCTGATCCTTTAGGCACTGCTGAGCATCTGCGAGCAGTTTCTCCCAAGTGCGAACCTCGTCTTCCAGGTCAGAAATGTGGCTGTTCTTCTTCTCAATGACGGTAGTTGCCCTGAATTCGTCGACATCGTGCGTGTGCTTGAGCCTGTCATATTCACGAGTCAAGCATCCCAACTCACACTCCAGCTAGCTGATGCAGGTAGCGTGCTGCAAGATATCCTGCTTGAGATAACTTATTTCAGCTGCAAGGGCACCCTTGTCCTTCTCGAGGTCACAAGCGCGAGCTTGCTCTTCATCCTTGTCATAATACCTGACTGCCTGCGCATGTCCGTTGTTACCGTCCGCGCCGCCGTCTGCTGCTTTTCAGCCTGTAGCGCTGTCGCTCTCTTCGCAATAGTCGTCTCCTATGTCCTCTTGGTCTATCACATCCACAGCAATGTGCTATTCGTCGTGGTGTCTTATCCGCTTTCTTTTCTATTTTTTTCCTCTTTCTCAGTCCGCAGTGCCGTCTCCACACATGGCGTTCACCTCCATACCGACCTCAGCGATGTCCCGCCAGCTGGTCCGACGCTCACCAGTGTCCTCTTCGCTGCCTCGTAGGTCATAAAGTTCGTTCCGAGAGATCTCATCGAGCGCCACCGTAGACTGCTAGACGTGCACGTTCTCAGGGCCTTTGCCAGTGCACTCAGTGTCGTCCTTCAGAGCCGTCCCGTCTCCCCGTTCTCCTACATCCCATGACTTTCTGACCTCTTTCGGGACTGCTGCATCCTCTTTGGTGGACGATGTGTCACTACCACGTCACTTGAAATCGCGAGGGGCCGCCCAGTTGGACAAACTCGCCATGTCCTTTTAAGGCCTGCACGATTAGTTGTCGAGGAGCACATCTTGGAGTGGCGTCCTTATCGTTGGGCTCGATGTCCATAGCCCAGGGGTGGGGATCTTCCCGTTGGGCACCAAATGTAGGGGTTCGAGCCTGAGGCTAGCCCGAGAACCTCTTATGGAAAAGGCAGAGACAGAAACCATGTTTACTGATCAGAACGCGGGCTGCAACTGCCCGCTGCCAGTAGCTGCCGCGTACCACGAGCGCACTCATGACCGTCATTGTCCTCTTATTTCCGATGTCTGCACGCTCGTGGCCGCCGCTCCCGTAACCTTCATTTAGGATGGCTAGACACCTTAGTTAAATCCAACTACCGAATGAGGATTTCTCAGGAACGAGGCAAGAAGTACACAAGTTTAGAGAGCGCGAAAGACAAAGTCGAGTTTCCACAGTAGACATGTTGGCAATATCGATGTCACTTGGGCCTTTGCAAGTGGCAGCTGCTGCTTTTACCTGCTTGATGCAAAAGGCTAGAAAAGGCGTAGCCTTCAATACGTGCATTTAAGATCGAAAACACTGAAAATTCGAAATGTTCATAAATTGTTGTGTCGCATAGCTGAATCCAGGAGCATCCTCTTGATGATGATCAGTAGGCAGATGCTCCTTGTTGGGCTTTGCTAGCCTCAGAACAAGAAATGAACACAAACCACTTTGTATGTTTCGTGCATCAGTGAATACAGTTGAAACCCGCAATAACGAAATCGCCGGGGAAACGGTAAAATTTCGTTTTCACAAGAATTTCGTTGCCGCGAGTCAACGGAGAATCCGCTTCCGGCATCAAGCTTTTCTCAGGTGCCACAGTAACTTCATCTCGATTTCGCCAGTTTTTTCTTCGTCGTTTTGTTTGATTCCAACTGTTGGTGTTGCTTCGGCCTGTTGGGCTCGTCCGACGGCGCCATCTGCACTCCAGCATGATCATTTGTCATCGCCTGCTGCAGCGTGGCCAGACATGTTGCCGGACACAGACGCCATCGCCAATATAAGCAAACAATAATAGCGGTACCCACGCTAGCGCGGCAAAAGCAGACGCTCACAAATTTTGAGTGTGGATAACACGTATACAAGCATATTTTCGACAGTTAACCTTTGGCGGGAAGGTAAATAAGGCCCGCACCGTGGTAAAAAATTCGTTAATGCGGGATCGCTATCCAAAAACATTTCGTTGCCGCGAGACACGTAAAACATCGGCTTCTATGAACGTTTGACGGGGATTCGGAAATATTTCGTTGCCGCGGGGATTTCGTACTCGCGGGGTTTCATTATTGCGAGTTTTGACTGTATACCGGGACCGTCCATGACACAATAATTCTGATTCGTTCTTGGGAGACGCGAGGTTGTCGAGAAAATACATGGCAACTTGCGCTTTAGATTATAGCCTTAGAGGCGCCGAGACGAAAGAAAAGGTCGCCGTTAACAGCGTGACTCCGTTGCGTGTCCCAGTCTTCCTTTCGCGCGATATCCCGACCGGGAACTGCTCTATCACGCCTCAGCGATTTGCCCAAGCGACGCCTTGCAACTACTTCTCAACGTGATCAGCGTGGGCCCATGTCTTGTCTCCTTAAATTCAGAGTACACATATTAGCTTTACGAGATTTTCTACAGCCACGTGGATAGTTAAATGTTATTGTCTGGCCTTCGCAGTTGAAACTCATCTTGTTTTATGTGTGTATAGCATTGCTCAGTGCTTTTGTAGTGCATGAATCCCATAACATTCATTGTATGTCGAAAGTAGCGCAGGCTCGCGACTTGCTCTTCCGAACCATGGCAAATGCTGCAGCGCTTGATTTTTGCATTCATTGATAGATGGCAGCACACTGCAAGCGATTCGCTTCTTGGCGGGTGCCAGAGCGAATTGTTCTCCACGCTCAGATAAACATGTGTTGATGTTGTGTTGGTGAGTGACGCATTGTTGGTGTCATCGAAGTCATTCAGTGGAGAGAATTCCTTAGATTACTTTTAGCAGTGGTATACAAAGAAATCGTCTTGACGTCGAGGATTTTTCACTGGACATAGAACGCACTGACAGTGACAGTGATAATGAACGATCAGCGAGTAACAGTGGTGATCCAGCCAGTTTACGATTCGGAGCAATTTTTGGAGCATAAAAAAGTCTGCGTTAGAGCAGATTTGGAGCAGGACTGTGTTTCCGAGTGAATTTGGAGTAGGCACAATGGAGTCTATGATTATTTGGAGCGATACATGTGAAAATTCTCGGTGAATATTCTTATCTGTGGGAAAACTAGAAATGCTGCTGCAATGTAAACAAGGAGGCAGAAAATAGGCGTCCAGAGAGCAGCCATTAATCAGATTCTTAGCACCAAAGTGTCAAATTGCGGTTTCACTGCACTGCACAAAATGTGCGTGATGTGCAAAAGTGAAGCGTGCGTGACAATGATGGTTACACATGTTAGTGACGAGGTAAGCACAACGTATACAGTTTTTGCGATTCGACAGGTGTCGCAGGTTCATACAAAAAAAAAACCCAATTAGAGAATCAGCAATCCGACGATTAAAGAACAAATACGAATAAAACTAGTTCATTGCAAATGAGAACACAATGTTTGGAATTTTTTACGCAGATGGTGCATTAAATATTGGCCACAGCTCACTTTGGATGATACTACACCCTACTCAATAATTGCTAGAGGTATAATAAGCGGCATTTTTCTTTATTTAGAGAACTTTGGGCTCAGCACTTCCAATTTTCCAAATTCAAAAAAAGAAAACATTTAAAAAGAAACTGGTGGGATTTAAACAGCTGATACGAATAGGCTGGGGTCAGTGATCAATGTAAACATGAAGGGGGGGGAGGGGGGGGTGCATTTAGTCATGAAGGAGACTGAGTCAGTTTGTCGAAATGTCTGCTTCTGTGACGCCACGCATTCACGAATTTCGCACCTAAACATGTCGTCAAGGTGCGATGGGTGGGTTATATGAGCACCGTGCTGCTGACACAGTTGGGAAATAACTATGGTGTTCTGCAAACATGCAAGGTGACGGATAGCCACCGATTGGTTTGGTAGGAGGAGTGCATCCATATTTTTTTTTTTTTGGTGGAGGAAGAAGACACTGCGCAATTTTCGAACAAACGGCGTTCACGCTGAGCCCCCTTGCAAGTGTAGTTAACAAGTGTGAGGGAATCACTTGGGAATATTTATAAGCCGGCCATCAAAGGCTCAACTGAGAGGAATAAACAACTACCCGTCTTTAACTAGAGTCAAAAGACGCGACAGGGGGTCCCTCCAGCAGCAACTGCGACCTTTGATTTTATGAGCGCGCGTTTTCTCGCTATCTCGGCAGTTGTCAGCGTCAGCGCGAAGATAATGTGTGAAGAGTGTTCCTGAAGTGACCGTACTCTCTTAAACCAGGGTTTCTCAACTGTTCAATATAGCCAATAATTCAAAATATCCGAGTTTGATATATCCGAGATCAACTGTATTTCTAGCTTTTTCTCTCAACATTATATTCCTATTATTCAGGCACATCCAGCATCCAGAATATTTAGTCTATATAAGTGATATTTGCACAAAGTTTCATAACAGTAAAAGCATGCTCATACACACATCATTAACTAGAATTAAGTGACTCAGTTCAGCCAAGCATCATAGAACACCATGTGATAAAAACGGTATTAATAAGCATGCAAATGGGATGTGGCATGGATAACTAAACTACTGCTGGTTCATTTCTTCTTATCCAGCAACTTCTAGTCAAAGTACATAGCCAAATTCCAGTGAGCTCACAGGCGCTGGAAGTTCATCAGCATCCGATTCATCCCATCAGGAGTGACAATGGCAACAGCAGTGCCAGTGTTTGTCTGGACATCCTCCATGGAAGCACTTTTCGTCAGCTGTTTCCTTGGCAACCTCGAAGTACATTCGTAGAGGCAGATGCTCAGCATCTAAAAAGAATAGGTCATGGAATTACAATACTCTCGATAAACAGCAATCTGTTAAACAGAACTGGTGCTTAAATGGAACAACTGCATCTGATGTGATTGGTTTCATACTTGTATTCTGCACGCCGTTCGTCTCTCAGTAAATGGAACTCCTGTTAAATGGAACACATTTTCTTGGTCCCTTCAGGCTCGTTTAACAGCTCTACAGTAATGAAGTTCAGAGAGAGATGGACACCCCCTTGCTGGTCATTGTGAACAGACATGCTTGCAAGGTGTCTTTACATTGCTCTGGGAAACGACAAGTGCTACTCAACAAAGCATAATCAGCCTATTGAAAACTGCATGCCCCCAAAATATCAAAATGTTTGTTCTTACATAGACATACTATATATTCTAATCAAATCATATGGATTATAGATGTGGCAGTTACAGTACATATAAATACTTTTCAAGTGGGCAGTATGAGAAAAGAGGAGTCATAGTGCTTGTACTTTGATAATGAATGTCTACCAACTCTCCCAATTTATGAATCTGCTGCAGTATATCCCATCGAAATTGAAACAAAAAAGCAAACTCTCTTCACATGAACTGTTTAATGTTATAATACTGAATGAATAGTGCAACAACGAAAAAAAAAAAAAGAAATCAAGACACAAAAAGAATATGGGACAACTGCTTAATATGAACGATTTGTTTGTGCACAATGCCATGCTTTACATAACATCTGTCGCACGCCACACGTCCAGGAGGGCCCAGTAAGAAAGTTAAAAAGAAACTGTTTGTTAGTTTAACTTTTCTTCTCTTACTGCACTTTTCATTGTCCAAAAAGGCAATGGGCTGGTAGAGATAACAAAGTATCAACTATTACACAATATAAGGGTTCTATTACAGGCAGAATAGGTATCTAATCATTAGCTTACTAACCAGAACATGATGTAACCTATCTAAAACCCCAAAATATCACTGGTTGTGTCCCCACACAGGTGTGAAGAGCACTAGGAGTGAAGCGTGTATGCTTGTGATACTCTATATTGCTTTATGCTAAAAAATTTATACTGCACTGCACCTCAAATACTCGGTAGACTGTGTCACATCAATTACTTTGTATGCCGAAAGACTAGGCATATTGAAGCTGCCATATTCTTGGATCAACACAGTCACAGCATAACCTCTTACAATCAAGACAAGATTCGCATTTGTTCTCAGCCATGCAGTGCTCACTCATTCCCTAAACAGCAATGTTCGAACAAGCCGGGCATTATACGACTACTAGTTTAGTGGATGAGCCCACACGTGTCATATTAATGCTGGCCAAAATGTCCTATATGACACCCGCAGAGCGGCTCTATAGCAATGTGCTCCTTTTCAGGTTGTGGTATACAAGTGCTGCTACATTCAGCTTGCTTATGAGTGATGAAAGGCAGTGCTTTCTGGACACTAAGTCCACATCTTTTCAATGCAAATGTTGCAACTACAATGAACAATCTGTTACAGCACAAGCACCATTCTTGTATATGCAGTCACCAAGTGTAGCGTGTAGCTTGTTCAGCCAATAACGTAGGCGCTTGACAATTGAAACTCAAGGAGAACCAAGAAGTTTTGTTTTCTATGCCACTCTGGCACACTCTTTCTTTGCCAGCTGGTAAGAAAGAAAGTGGTCCACACTTGCAGTTATGGTTACGAGCAGCAGTGACCAACACATCCATGATTTGCATGCACATATATACCCAACACAGTAGACAAGAAAATGATCACTGCTGTGGCTCAATTTATATGAGCACTGGCCACATAATCCAAGGGTTCTAGCTTCAGACCATGCCAGCAACAGGTTGTCTTTTGTCCACTTTCTTCACATCTATATCACAATAAGTATAACATACTCAAAACAGAACAATTAATGTCCCCTATGATTTCCTTAAATATCTGCTGGTTTTCATTACCAGAGTAAAATGCCAACTTGGGTTGTAATGTTGATTGTAATGTACTAATGTATTATTTTAATGTACTCAGGGCTATAACAAACCACACATAACATAGCATTTGCCAGTAAAAATTTAAGATGTCAGCCATCAATCTGGTCCTCGTTATTATAGTGTTCGCACGAACGTGCAATTAAGAGGCAAAATGTGCTGTGTTCTGTGATAGCTAAATAGCCCCCTCTCAATCATAGTTAGCTTTTCTGCATGACACTACTGTACTGCTGCACAAGCAGTTTAAAAAGCATTTGTAATGTGAGTAACCAAGGCCAGACTAGAAATTCTTCTTTAACTGCTTGTGCAGAAGCAGTACGCTGGTTTCATGCAAAAAAGCATATACATTTGAGAAGGGGCTATTACCTACCACAGAACACAGCACATTTTGGCTTCTAATTACATATTCGTGCAAACACACACACAATGAGGAGTAGTCAGCACCACGCATTGGCACCAACATCTCCTTATATACACTTATTTAAAAAAAAAAGGCCAGACTGTCATTTCTTAGCGGTACGATCACCACGTGACACTCTCCTGCAAGCATATCTGGCTGAGCACTTACTTCCAGTTTCCTGAATATTCATGATAAGGTCATCTTCTAAGACATATGAATCAATTGTTCTGATTCAAGTTGAGAGATACACTGGATACATATAATATCAGCATAGGCGTGTGCACAAGGGGCACTGCGTCTCGAAAGGTGCAAAGTCAGCTTTATGCACTGACAAAATAGGGAGAGGGGGGGTGCTGGGGGTGAACCTCTGCCCCCTCCAAAGGGGGAACCCTGTGCATGCCTATAAATATCAGAGCGTAATTTGACTTACGAGACGGGCCAATTAACAGTCAGGATAATTAATGAAAATTGGTTGACTGAGCTCATTGAAGGCATTTGGGATCCTGCGGCGCCTGTTGGAGCCGTTCTCAACCATGTGCTTTTTTTTCTTTCTACATGGCTTCCAAGATATACTTCAGCACCATGTGGAATTCGAAGTTAACCCAAGGAATGCATCAGGACACACAAATGGTGACGGGCAAGTACCACTACTAGAGACCTAAGTTACGGATTACGGTCGCCTCCATAAGCTTTTCTTTCTCTCTCAGTCAACATTGATTGTTGGTGTATGTGGTTTAGATAGTTTGCCCTGTAAGGGACATATGAATGGAAATTTTCTGTAAAAAGTCACAAAATCTGTAGATATCTTTATGCATAGACAAGCAAAAAGTATGAATTAACTGAATTTGCACAATGGGGATATTTGAATTAAGCGGTTTAAAAATTAATGAAAACCGAGCACACCAACCAAAAATTTGACATTTTTTTGTAGTTAACCGAAAGTTTGTATTATAGAGAGCCTAGTCTAGAGAGACTATTGGCTGCTTATATTTTTCTGCAAGCAATGCATCTCTGTCTCGATCCTATTGACGGTGGCAATTGAGAACAGTAAATCTGACAGTGGCAATCAAGAATAGCAAATTAGATTTTTGCTTACTAAAAATATTCAGTACGATTCCAATGGAAGTACATCACATGTGCTGCCGTTCAGATAAATGAAGATGCTCATTGATACAGAATTGATAATGATGGAGGCGTCAGCTGTGAATGAGACATTCAACAGGCAGTAACGAGATTCAAAGGAGGCGGAAGAAAAAAAACTGAGCACATTCCAGTGTATACTTGTGACACATGAAGGCAATTATACTGAGAGAAAGCTGTAACAATGAATGGCTATGGTGCTCAATGCTTGCAAATCACGCATTTCCTTGTTTACAAGACTGATACTATCAACTTCCTAACGCCTCATATTATGACTTTTCGACAGTATACTGAACATAGATCTTGAAAGAGCATGTTTTCTGAGAATGTATGAGCTGGTGAGAAGAAGCAGATCTGTGTTGGGTTATTTTTTTGTGTTTTCAATCACAAGCAATGGTACTAGGAAACCATTCAAAGCATGGATGTATCAGTGAGGTTGTACTAGTATACATGGGAATATTTGTGCAGTGCAAGTGTCAGTGCCAGCAGTCTTCAAAATCATGGCAGTGCATGTGTGAAACATCCATTCAATCAGAAACATCCAAGCCAAAACTTCACAAGTTCACCTTAGCCGTTATACATGAACAGCTATAAGAAGGCAATTTTTTTGTTAATACCTTTAACTCAAACAATAGTCACATAAATTAAGGAGGTTTAGTGAGAGAAATTTTGCCTAGTGCAAGTAAATACACAGCTCCATCTTCCAACGGAACGCTAGAGAAAGCGCAGACCAATTTTAGCAATACAGTAATGCAAACAAAAATTAAAGCTGTTGCACTTCACCAACATCATTCTTTCAGTATCCAACAACTAGAACTGACCAATTGATATGAGCATGGTGCCACAGATGTGAGCAAATGCAGATTCCCACTGACATAACGTTTTGTTTATGTCAAATATACTTTTCTGTTTCAGATATCATTGCTGACAATATTTATCTGCTTTTAAAAAAGAAATGTATTGACCTTTTAAGCACAGTATAGTAAAAAAAATGCAAATTAAAAAAAAATTTTTTTTCGTTCAAAATCCAGGATCCGGCAAACGCTATTTTAAGCTCCACAGCTAAAGTCTTCTTCTCAGCAGCCAAATGTTATGCGTTAGCTACAAATAAATGCACGTCTTATGCATTGTCGTATTATGAGATAAGTGAAGCTATTGCATTTGCTCTGCCACTGCGGCTGGTCATCGAAACCTCAGGTGTTGCCTAGAGTGGTACAATTCCAAGGCTATCATGTACAGCTGCAGCCAAGTCTGTGTAGAGCGCTCAAGCAGCCGGTTTCTGCTCAGCGGGCTGAAACCTTGAGGCAGTTTCGGGTTCTGAAGTGGTGTATCAGGAGCATGCACAGCCTACTTGTCAGGCTGACCACGTCAAAGCCTGATATTTCCCCAAGGTTTCGCCCCACAGAGCAAAAACCGGCTGCTCGCGTGCTCTACACAGATGTGGTCGCGGCTGTACATTCAACTAAAGCAGTTGTTTTCCGCTCATTTCTATGAATGTGCAACATTGAAAACCATCGCATGCCATGAAACTAAAAGAGCCGTGGTCACGTAAAAGCAAAGTGACAACTTGAAATACTACAGCTCCGTTTATGGTGGTGACGTTTATTGTTTGAGACGCCATTAATTTCACTTTATTATTTTATGTCCACAAAGCACGTGCTTTTTTTCGCCGGTCAAGAACACAGGCAGAAGCCAGCCGGGTGGTGTCGTCTGTTTCCTTGACGATTGTCAAGAAGATAAGAGCTTGTCATGTTTAGTACCGTTTCCCCTATGGTAAATCATGTCCTTTACTTGAACGAAAACATCATATGTGGCCCTCAAGCACCATACGTGCAGCACAGAATAGAAAATTACGTCACTACTCTGTAGCAAGGGGCCAGGTTTTCAGAATGCTAATAATCGGCCACATGCTCTCCCTTTCCTCTGCTCTGAAAGAGAGGAAAGTGAGCTGCTGCACTTCAGCGGCTGCTTTTTGTAGCACTAGGCGAGATTTGAAAAATGTGCTCTCAAAAGGAATGTGCAAATAGATCAATCATGTGACCACTGGCTCCAGCATGAGTTTAGTTTATCAGCTCAGTCTTCCTGCCCTGCAGCAGTGAAACTTTGTTATACTGAAATTGCTGAAGGGCACTCTTCGTTTCAGTGAGGTATAAAATACATGGGATTCTATGCGCAGGAAGTTGTCAAAAATAAAATACATTGTTATTTCTAGAATTTTATCAAACTGAGGTTTGTAACACAATTCAGGTTCAACTTTACCACCCTTGGATATGCACAAAGCTAAACTATATAAATGTGCCAACAACACCTAAGAGGTCTGAGTGGAATCAAAGTAAGCTATCCAGTACTAACTATCCCTCTTCCATGTCCCAGTAAGCAAGTGCAGCAACCTTGAAACATGGGTTCAGAATCTTCACAAGGTGTAGAGCTTCCAGCGTCTTCTCGCTGTTCCTCTGTGGTGTCAGTGGAGTTTTCAGCCGCTGCACCTGATGCTGCCAATGCTATTTGCACATCATCTCTCTGGAGTAACATTCCATCAGGTGATACCTGGAAGCATTTATGGCACAAGTTTAAGCACAACTATATACATCAAGGAAAACAGCACAGCAATACTCAATTTTTCAAAACATTACTTTAGTTGACTTGGCAAGAAAAGATTATTTCTAAAGAAATCCGATGTCATGTTATTGCGCACCTCTTAAAGGACGAGGACAAAAATCAGATACAAGTGCTTGTGTTTGAGCAGTCCTGTCCTCTAAGCGATGTGCAATAATGTAGCAAATAATAGATACCAACTACCCCAAACAAGTACCGTCCTTTAGAGAAAATCGTGTCGGGATGAAGAGGCTGCGACGCCGACGAAGAAGCAGAGCGAAGCGCAGCACGCCCACGCGGCCAGTGGCAGCCACCCACAACTTGGGCACAGAGCGCCGAGTGATAGAAACATCCGCCCCAAACGGGTGCCCATCACCAACTGATTTATTTACTTACGTACACATCCACCTCGTATGCACCCTATCAGTGCATGTCACAATACATCGCTACCGTGCGAGGCGCCACCTCGCCACTAAAGCTGAAAATGCAACTGAACAGAGCAGCACAACACAACAAAAATTATATCCAAACTTTCTTGCCATGAATTTGCCATGAATTTTTTGGTATAAAACCTTCACAATGAAATGTCTTTCTCTAGAAAAACTCAAACCATGCATGAAAAAGGGGGTGCCTCTCGAGCCAGTGTGGTGACTATGGAACTTGTCTCGTCGAGACAACAGTTGCCATGACCACTCAATGGACAGGAAAAAAGGAAGTCGTGAAATTGTTTATCCTCCACAATTTTTACAGAGCATACTCTCGCCAATGAACACTGGCATAGGTAAAAAGTGGGTGTGTAAATACAAATGACAAAAGCTGTAAGGTGCAAAAATGAAGGCATTTGGTTCTGTTGTTAATGTAAAAGGCAATGATGCAGGTGCTGTCAACTCTTTCATGTGGTAGTGAGAACAGACAGAAATCTTTGTGTGCTAGCAGAGGTTGTCATTCTCTATTTGTGATTTTAAATAAAGCGAAATGAGAGGGAATACTGATCTCACAGCATCTGACCTGATCTAAGTAGACGTCTTTTACAACTTCAAGTGCACGAATACCAATCTCGAAGCGCTATTCTCATCCAAGGTTGTTGTACATTACTTTAGTTTTCTGTAGATTAATTTTAAGACCTACCTTTCTGCTCTCCTTGTCTAACTCCGTAATCAGGAGTTGCAATTCGTCTCCTGAGTTACTCAGCAATGCAATGTCATCGGTAAAGTGCAGGTTACTAAGGTACTCTTCATTAACTCTTATTCCTAACGCTTCCCATTCTAGGCCTCTAAAAACCTCTCCTGTAAGCACGCAGTAAATAGCATTGGCAAGATTGTATCTCCCTGCCTTACACCCTTCTTGATTGGTATTCTGTGGCTTCTTTATGGAGTAATATGGTGGCAGTTGATCCCCCGTAGATGTATTCCAGGATGTTTATATATGCTTCGTCGATGCCCTGATTCCGCAGTGTCTGGCATGACTGCTGATATTTCTACTGATTCAAATGCCTGATTGATACAGTCAAATCTCAATAATTTGAACTCGGAGGGGCTCGAAAATTTGTTCGAATTAAAAGGAGTTTGAATTAATGAAAGCTAAATAAACAGAGGGCTCTCCATGCAGTGGCGCATGTGCATTGAGCTAACACACGAGGGGGAAGTTGCAGAAGACTTACAATTATTCACAAATCACAGGACATCCGTTATTAATTGGTTCGCGCCCGGCGTTAGAAGAAGGGTCTTTACGTGACAGGGACGGAAATGGGAGAAGTGTGACACGGGTGCATCGCAGATCAGCATTTGAGAGAGAGCGAACACTTTACTGCAGCCTTTTCTTTCATTTTCATTTCCTTAGCGCGCAGCATTTAGGTGTCGCAGGTGCCACTGTGGGATTGGGCGGGGTGCTGAGAGCATTGTCGGAGCGCGGTATGTTCGAACTAACCGTCACAAGTGCTTGCACGTTCGAATTACCGGGCGTTTTCGCCCATTGGAATACACATAGCTTTGGCGGGACTTCTTCGTGAGTTCGAATTAACCAGAAGTTCGAATTTAGCGTGTTCGAATTAATGAGATTCGACTGTAGTATGAATGTCGTCGATTGTTGAGTAGCCTGTATGAAAAGCGCATTCATGTAACAACAGAAGTTGCATGTACATTTGGAATCACTTGTCTAGAGCAGCCGCTCAGCCACTTCAGCTGCAGCTTTATGCAAAAATGAGGGCAGACACCGATGCCATAATAATACCAAACGGAGTCAAGCGGCATGCTAGGTTCATGACCAATGCCTGTAGTGAATTCGAGGTAGCAAATACGAGGTAGCAGCTGCAGACAGCAGCAGGCTGCTACCTCGTATCTCTTGCCATCTCTTGTTATTCTACTGGAATCCCACAATCAGTTCTGAACAGCATTAATAAGAACTTACAGACAATGATGCCAAGAGAAGTGTAGGGGATGTAATTGGAAAAAATTGAAATGTAAATGTGGAGAAGGAAAAGTGGACGAAAAGATGACTTCCCATCGGCAGGATCCAAATCTCTATGGCCTTCGAGTAATACGTCCTATGCTCTACCACTAAGCTACAGTGGCGGATATCCCATCGTCCACTTTATGGGGTTTATAACTGCATTTAATTGTGGGAGCATCAGTCTGTGCCACCTGTGTCATTGTGGCGAGTGTAGAACACAATTTTTGCCTGTCACATTACAATTACTTCTAATAAGATATTTTATACTTCTCTTAGCATCATTGTTTGTTAGTTCTCATTAATGTTGTGTCTAACAAAGAAAAAACAAGCCCTTAAGTTTACACTTATTTCTTCATAGCTAGGGCCACGTTCGGGCAGACTTGATGCCTTCAGGTAGTATGCGAGGGATTACTGGTCAGCTGCCAGCTCATAATAAAATCACGTGCTACATGATACTAACAGACATAAGAGTGCTCTACACTCGCCACAATGGCAATAGGCAGCGCTGACTGATGCTCCCAGGTTTAAATGCACACATATACCCTATAAAGTGGACTGAGGGATGACCGCTATCGTGGCTCAGTGGTAGAGCATCAAACCTGTTATTTGAAGGTTGCAGGTTAAGATCCTGCTGGTGGTGGCTACGTACGACAACGGAGGAAGGAAAGACCCACACCCTAAGGAGCTTCGCCCCTAAAACAATTTGCCACCAGCAGGATCTTAACCTGCAACCTTCAAATAACAGGTTCAATGCTCTACCACTGAGCTATGGGAGTACGTGCCACAGGGGATGCGAGATGGGAGATGGCGTTACTTGGAGTGTTCACTAGATGGATGCACGGACGGACGCATGGACAGACTAGCAGACGGACGGACGGATGGATGGACGCACAGAGCATTGTTACCAATTTAACTTTAGTTGCTAGTAGCACATTGCCTGTGTTCTAAAGTATCCAATTTTAGTAGCCCTGCACACCGAGAAAGTGTGCTTTTGAAGACTGTGGCCTTTCATAGTATTATGGAGTTGTTTTTTGCCTAAGCAATTGGTCTTCAGGCAACAAATTTTGGCCATGCAACCCAAACCATTTAATTTTTGTGATTAGGCCCCTACATGAGTAACAAAATAGTATTATAATATTTTGTAATTAAATTGGACACTAAAGTGAATTAACAATCTATGTCAGAGTGAAAGCTAAATGTAGGACATGTAAAACAGCAATATTATCAACAGCAGAGCCCTACTTAGCAAAAAATTAAGGTATGCACGAGAACTCATGCACCACGAGTAGGACATTCAGAAAAAGATCCTGACGATGCCAGATTTACTGCCAACAATTATTCACTAGTATTCAACTAGCTGTACCAAATAAAGAACCTTCCGTGCATCAAGAGACGTAATAAAATGCTGCTTGTTCATTTGTTTGATTCGTGGAAAAAAGAATCGCCGCACGTTACTATGGGGAATGGCGCAAGTGGTTCAAAAGTTCAATTTTTGCCTGGTTAAACTGGACAGGTCATACCATCTAGCAGGCTCCATTTGAACCAAGCATGTCTGCCATCTCGGAACCATGGTGGAAAATTGTTCAATGGCTGTTGTTGCTGCTGTGGCTCCCGCTACTTTCACTTTCCAACTAGTGTCGGGGGTCGCGCATTAAAGCCTGGCAATGTTGTGCACGCCAACAGTGATGTGAAAGTTTCCACTTTGAGGTGGTCAAGTTGAAGTGTGCTAACGCGATGAGGACCACTAAAATGTGATTTTATTTCAAAGTAAGCACTTCTTTGGCACAAAAGTAGTGCTACGAGGTTTCTAGACCGCTATTTCAGCAATCAGCATCGACTTAATATTTGCCTTTAGTGTCCCTTTAACATATAGCCCATATGTGTTTTCAATGCTTGCAAGAAGACGGAACTTCAGGGGAGTTCAACACATTCAGTGATGAAAAAATATCAAAACCTGGAGTAGTACAGGGACTCCAGAATTCCCATGAACAAGGCCAATCGTTCTTGGGTCAATGTCAACTTCCAACGTATGCCCGTCAGCTGTTTTTAGCCGTGCCTGGCCATCTGGAAAAACAAGGGGGAGGGGGAGTTGGTATAGGATATATTTAGAGTCATTGTAAGTATCAATGTTAAATCACAGAGTGTTTCATCACGAATAGCACTGCTCTACACAACTACTTCTAGAACTTATTCTACCTGGCATTAAATAAAGCTATATGAAATTAGCCTGCACCCAAAGACATTATACACAGCAGTGTAAACCTTTTTGATCTGCACAGTGCCATGAACTGAATAGATGATAAAAGAGAGAAATATGGGATATGAACATGCGTGTTTGTTTCAACGTTCAATCTTTTAAGGCGAAAACATTTGATGCATTGTGAAATGCGAAAATTCACTGCTGTACCCCATCAGCAGCGCCAACACGAGTGAAAAAAAATTATCACCGTGTGATGATGTCGCCATATGATATCACGACTTCACAGATTGTTAAGGAAGGAAGGAACAGGCAAGAGGGAAAGGAAAGGCAGTAGTGTCAACCAGTCTAGAAGGACTGATATGATACTCTACACAGGGAAAAGGGGTGGAGGAGTTTTAAAGATGGAGAAGAGAAAAGAGCACGCACACAGGAAGTCACACTCTACATTTATCATAGCACCATAAGTCTATAGCCACCAGTTAAAGTCTCTTGCCTTCAAGAAGTTGAGCACTGCTTTTGTTGCCTTCACCCACAATGAGCTCTAAGGTCCCCATTCCAAGATAATTTCTGCCATCATCAGCCTGTGATCTATAGAGACCGAATTATAGGAAAATGCCTATTTTGTTTATTACGGTTCCTATCATGCTTGATATATGAGCAAGAATTAGAGGTTGAGAAGAGCTTTTATACTGCTTTGTGGTGCCTATAAATGCTTATTTCTGATGTCTGAGCTTAAATTTTTATAAGTGCCAATAAATGCCTATTTTCTATATTGATGCCTATATGAACACTATTTAACCTCAAATTTGCTTTCGAGTACAGTTGGAGACTGGTATTCATGTTACCAGGCCAAATCGAGCTTTTGGAACTCTACGGGGTGCAGCTTACACTACATCTCATGAGTTCCTTTAAGCACTGTCAAGGCTACAAGACCTCTTAGCCAATAGAAAGGCCCATTTGCCTCTACAAATGTATTCATCTGCATCGCGTCGTCTGCGTGGCATCTCCCAGGCGTCTGCTCGCATTCGTAGGGAACAGGAGGTGCTTCCGTGCAGTCACATGATGGAGAACGAATGCGAAATCGTGGAGTGTCATCAGAAAAAGTAGAGTGTAAATTTTAAAAGAGATACCCACGTGGTTTAATTGTTTGTTTGTCATTTACTCCTTAAACGGTGCTTTGCTAGGTGACATAGAAAATTTTACTTACAGTGGAAGTCGTTGCATGCCAAATGAAAAGCTGTGCACCACTATAATTTCTTAAGTGGTTCATTGCAAGCTGCGAAAGTATGACGAGAGAAGGGGAGCTTGAAACCTTTGCCACTCGCCCTCAAAAGACTTCGAAAGCCAAATCCCTTCCCTGCCCTCTTCGGCATCAAGGTAGCTCGGAGCTGGAAGATGACACGACGCGGTCGCATCAATACGTCATGCACATGCAAGGCTACATTCGCATGATATGTCCATGACAGGTTGTGCACGCAAGCAGTATAGTGTCGTTTTGATGTTCTCTGTATTGTAATGCATGTTTTGTGGGTTTGATCCTTCTATGCATGCACGTCACCTATGCATATACGCCACCTCCACCATGCTGGGTGTGCGCCCGTGAGATTAAAGTCAAGCGGCATTCAGTTTGACATTTCAACTTTTGCCAGAGCGTGTAGCATTGCAAATCTTGGTAGATGATATCGTGAGTGCCAAGTGCAGGCATTCTTCTTACCTGCTTGAAATTCTCAAATCTGGTAAAGGGCCCTTTACAGACACAAGAAAAATTGACTAAATTAGTACGAGGCAAAAAGACTCTTCTGGCCTATTAGTGCTCTGGCTATTTGCTCCTGTTTTGCCCATCTCAGCCAAGCCAAAAAGAAAGACCCAGGAGCGTGCTTAATCGACTGTGGACACATAAATCACTGTGCTGGACAAGAAAAAAAAAAAGGCCGTATTCTGCAAGCCCTGCCGGAAAAAAATTGCATGGGTATGCTGAACCATTGGCACCTTTGTACCATCATAAACTAAAACATTTCTGTTTTCTTTCCTGACGTAGACACTGATCCCACTTTTATTTCTTCAAAAATTTGAATTTCGCCAAAGTTTGTTGTGCCCATACTTCCGATTTTGGGGCATAAAACAGTGTTTTGCCCACCTATTTTTGGCGCCTGAAATCCAGTTTTTTAGTGCCCATGAATCCGGCCTCAAGTGATCTATGTGAGATAGAGCGGCAATTAGTGATGTTCACTGTGCATTGTAGCGAGGACAGTCTCAGAAGATGTGCTGTAATGTCTCCTCACTACCACAGTTGTCACAAAACGGTTGTCAGCCATTTAGATTTGAAGGGAGAATGACTTTGTGAAAGCCAATTTCAGCCATAAATGGCAAATCAGAGAGGCATCATTTCGGCATAGTCCAGTAGGTGTCTGAAAATGCCAAGTGTGTCATTATTATGACATCGTGATGTCCCGTAACATAATGTTGCCTGATGAAGTCATCATATGACACTGTAGCTAGGTCAAAGGCAGGCAAACCACAGAGGCAATGCAAAAGCACGTGAGGTGCCTCCAATACTGGAGGCAATGGAAAACCCTTTAGGTGCAGAAAGCTTTCAGAGGGTGGTGAAGCAGGATCGTTACATCGACCGAGAAGAAGAGTAAGATGACTTTGCCATCCATTCATCTCAGGCAAGTGTAAAAAAGACCATAAGAGTTTTTGCTTTTTGTCGCTTGCTTGGACAGACACCTTTATCACAATTTCATCTCCTCGATTGGTAACTAATTGCAATGTAAGAAAAAGGAATGCAGTGTATTGCATGCCAATCAACAGGCACGTCTATAAATTGAGCATTGAGCCACAGCCCTCCCTAATAGCATGAAGGTCCACCATTCTGGATGAAATTTTACACTTCAGCTTCCTGCCTACTTTTTCTCGTCATGCAGACAACTTCAAAGAGGCCACTCTTGTCTCAAAAGTTGCTGGATGCACAGTGGGCTGAGCACTCTGCACAGGAATAGAACACAGGCCCACAAAAAAAAGCCAAGACGGTCAGGTTTATCAATCAACGCTAGCTTTACTTTCAACATCCGCATAGCATATGTGATTGAAGGTGATTTTTCCGAGTTGTTTAATTTTGCATTCATTATCAGATTCTGGGTACTGCTGCACTTGAGTTAATTCAGCATTTTCAACTCAAGAACCGTTCTTGCTTGCATCTTCATACAGTAAAGCACAGACCACACTTGGACTCCCGTGCTGCTGCAGTAAGTCTTGTTGTGAAACCATGCTGGCCAGATACTTGAGCCATCAAAGTGGAATGGTGACTATGGACGTAGCAAGACCCCAAGTAAAGAGTGAGCTGCTGGTGTGAAGGCGATCCCCCTTCTGACAATATGCATAAGAAGTGTTTCCACAAGCACAAGCCATGCAAGCATGAGCTGTACATCAGGTTACCTATTGAGCGATGACCACAAAGCTTAATTCACCGTCATATATACAGAGAGGGGAAAAGTGGTGCGAAATACAGGCAAACACACACTGCAGCACCAAAGCTAGAAGTACAAAAAAAAAATCAACAAGGTGCCTTAACTCTTTCCTTACCACGCCACTAGGCATCGTTCACCGGTGAACGACGATTTCACGCCCCTATTTTTCAACAAACACCGTGCGTATTAGGGAGCCTACATGAACGGCCGTTTTAGGGTGATGTCAGCCTTTGACCCACTACATGCCCTCAACGCACAGCCGCCCCCAAAACACAATGTTGCCAGACAGCAACGCCGCGCTGTCGCCCTATCTTGGTGCCCGCACTGCGTCTACGCCCGGTTGCGTTTAGTTCTCAATAATACGGCGTCGAACGTTGCGGTAGCGTGTTAAACGCTGCCGGTGAAGCCTTAGAATGCCTGGATGCTGCGTACCACTCTGCACTAACCACAACAGAAAGGGGGTGCGAATGTTCCGCTTCCCAGCGAGCCCTGGCCGACGACAACTATGGCTGGCTCAAGTGAAGCGAGACGGCTGGGAGCCCACCAGTGCATCTCGTATTTGCTCTGTGAGTACTGCGTATTTCGTTCACTGTTTTTTCCTGCGGCACACGTATATGTTTCGCGGTGTTCGCGAATGAGTAGATAACCGAAGTTGTCGTTGCTGTGTCCACGCATTGTGAGTAGGAATCCCACAAATGGGATGCGTCCGCGCGTTCGTACGGAAACGTGCTCGCTAGTCTGAGCTGTTGCCACGCTTGCGTTCGTGTCAGTGTAACCTCAGTATTATGTCGCAAGTGTTTGTGTGTGGGCTGCGAATTTCTTCGTGCGCTCACTTTGAGAACTGGGTCGCTTACACGACCCTGAGAACCGCCGCTGTCACTCGGTCGGCTCCTTTTGTTGCGCCGTACTTCGCGTAGCTGGAGGGAGCGGCTGCTGGCTCCAAAATGGCGGCGCACAGAAAACTATGCTGAATTTGGTGGAAGCTGGCAACAGCGTGCCCCGTTGCCCGCTGGTTTTGGCTGAGTTTCTTGAAGGCACTTATTAAGATGTCTCCACCCTAAAACGACCGTTCATGTAGGCTCCCTAGTGCGTATGGACTTGCAGCGCCATCTAGGCGATTGTACACACACTAGAATTTCTGTTTCTGTACGGTTCGCATTTTTCCGTGTGGCGCTGATTTTTAAAGGGCGCACCCATTCAAAGGTTGAAACGCACGTGATCCGCGTGATGGCGTCAACATCCGAAACCACGCGCGCTCGGAAAAAAGCGATTTCGCTCGATGCCGACGTCTCGACGAGCGATCTTTTGGATTTCTCAAGCAGTGAGGAATCGGACAACGATGGGGTGACATCGAATTTCAGCTCCAATGAAGAAATTTTATCAGATCAGCCGGGAACGTCAGCTGTTAGTCGTAAGTTTGGTTTTCACCTTTTGTTTGTTATCGTGTTCTGGAGCTGGCTGACTTGCTCTGTATGTGTCCCCATATTATATTATTTCTAGCGTGTCTACTTCATTTGGGCGCGATGTGCTGCCTCCAGCACAAAGACGTGGACTTCCGACCCCAGAGGGATCCGGGCATCGACCTCGGCATGACGCTCCGCAGTAGTGCACAATTTATAGCTTGAGAAGTTCTTGAGCTATAACTTTCATTTTTTCAATCCTACTCCAATACGCTGTTTTAAATATTTTGCATCTCTCATAACTTTTCCATAATTTTTTACTCGGAATATAAGTATATCATTACGACATTTGTTGTGAACAAACCTAATTATTTGTGTTTGTCAATTTTTGTTACCTATTTAGATCTGCCAGTTCTTTGTCAAATGTACCTTTCAAACCCTACATTTAGTACTTGCATTTTGGTATGTAATATTTTGCTGAAAAATTTTTTTCTTGAAAAAAGAAAATCTCGCGTAGGACCAACTCAGAACTTCACTATTTCGCTATGTATCAGGCTATTTTTTTGTAACTAAAAAACAGCTTCGTCAATTTTAACAATATAATGTTGCCCTGTGATTACTAAACATTTTGTATATTTCAGAATTCCTCAGAAAAATTTTGTGTCGGAGATATTGCTTCGTTTTTTTAAAAAAAATTCTTGAAAATTTTGTATTTTTTGTATACTAATTTTTTGTGCCAAATAAATTTCTAAATTTCTTTTATTGTTTCAAAATAAAAAGCATTCAAAAGTACGTTCATTCGTCTTTATTTTGATGTATTGCATGGCACTGTAAACCTAGTAGCAATGGCACAGAAAATTCCTAGCTGCAACATGCAAAAATAGGCCAATTTTCCCGTGGTAAGGAAAGAGTTAAGGCCAGCCAGATGAAGGTGCAACTAGGTTTTGATTTGAACAATACTTTCATGTGGCATAGTGGAATGTCAACACCAGAACAAGGCCTATTTTTTTAGCGCACACCTCTGTTTCAGGACAAGAAAATGCTAAGACTTGACAAGGTGGACAATGCGGCTCATGCAGTTACAAGATATTACACTCATATGATCTCTAAAGCAACATTTTCATTATTTTTATATTAACATAAAACTTTGTCAGGCATAAGTTCAAACCCAAAGAAAATAATACATAACCAAAAAAGCAACATTACATAAATCCTGTCTGTGCAAGCTCACTTCAGAACAAAATATGTCAAATGTCACTTTTAAACAAGAGGGCAAGAAATGAACATTTCTTAGTTATATTTTCAGCACCTTATGACTACCTGTTCATTTAAAAATTTTTCTGGGCTTATTTTGCAACATGCTAAACATGCAACAAAACGTATCTTGCCTCTCCTGTGTCACAGTATTTCACAACGGACGCAAACTGAAAAATCACACACACACACAAAATTTGATAGCTTTGCATACAATTTAAAATTACAATCCTCTCCGATTTAAACCAACTTTCTCAATGATTCTCAATTTTCATCAGTTAGGTATTTCCCTTAAAAAGTGGCATCATTTTGTTCCGAGTACAAAATGGAGGTAAAAATCGTTCTTTGCGCTACAATTGTCAAGTTCCACAATGCTTGTCTTTGAGTGTCTTGTCTTGCGAGCCTCAAATTTCTTAAGGCTTCCATTCGTGCCACGAAATAACAAGCCCTTTCAAGTGCCACTGAGGGGCGCAGGTGCCTTAAATAAAAAAATACAAACTTCTAGCTCTAACAACAGTGGCTCACTGGATATTTTGTTTCTGATGCAGGTTCAGACACTTGCAAAGACTCTTCAGTACTTAGTACATTAACAAAGTTGAATAGGTACCACAATCCGACGCCTTCTACTACAGACTTTCTGCAAAGCTCTGCTGTTGCTTTAAAGTGATAATGAGAATGTTTCATCAATTAAATGATCAACCACAAACATTTCCCACCCAAGTTTTTATTTTGCCTTCTATACTCTAATTACCTTTGTATCAGCTGTACACAAGTGTTTTCACATTCCAAAGAATTTCTAGCTTATGCTCTCATGTTGAACCAAATTCCATAGCCTCTTGAATAAGTTCATGAGATTTTATCAATGCACAAGCTTGACTCTTTTACACGCCTGGAACAGTCGCACTTTGACTTTCTGTCAAAGTGCGACTGGTGCCTTAAATGTCCCTGGTGTTTCCTTAAATTGAATCATTTCAGAGTTTGGTTGCTACATGACAGAACTATTTCATGTTGTAGAATTAAAGGTTCATCTTTTCCCTTACGCATGCCTTTTAAATGGAGAGATTAGTTGTCCAGAAATTGCCAAGGCCCAATTTGATCTCACTGCATGGTGTATGCTACATTCACACGTTTAATGCCTTTTGGCATTTATATAAAAGTATCTTAGCTCCCATGGCAGCAATCTGCAACCTATCTTTACCTGACAATGGCAGTGTGCATGATAAGAGGGACAACCTGTATATGAATGTTCACACATAAATATTTTCAGTGTCAACTGTCGACGCTGTCCTATATCTTAATTTACTGCAAGTTCATGTCACTAATTCTCTGCTACAAATACAACTTAGGTAGCACACTTCCCATAGCTTCTAAACTGATGGTTCCTTCATGAGCAAAGGATCTTGCTCTACTCATGCAGACTGAATTATATGCAATGAACAAATTTATGCGGTCCCAAACAATAGTCACATTAGGCTAAACAGCATAATTTTCATGCATAGCATTTTGCTGCTTACCAGCTAGATGCTCAAGAAAAGTTGTGCTGGCCCACAGCCATCATCAGACTGTAGTGCTAATGTGGACAACATGGCGTTGCTATGAACTTCCATATCCGACTGGTCAGGGAGGCCACCTGACACCACCAATGTCACAGGAACACCGATGCTAGCAGAATACAATGAGCTTTGCGAGTTGGGCTCATCAGTGCTGGTGCCGCCAACAAGTATGCCGCCAAGCTGTGGTGCCAGGTCTTCCATTCGCCCAACAAAAGAACTACAGCCTCGTGTTGCTGGTCTCGGCTGTTGCTGGCTGAAAAGATTTTAAAATAATTTAAAAGAACTGATGTCTTCAAGACTAAGTAATTGTCAAGTGCTTCTCAAAAACCAGAGTGTAATGCAAGTCTCAGGTGGCCATAAAAGTTCATGTCCACACAACGATAGGGGCGCTGCCACATCTTTTGGACAAGGTTTTGAATGTGTCCAGTATAAATGGTTCTTCACCAGGTTTATTGGGCATTGAAAACATGCAAGAATGGTGCATTGATTATGAGGCAAGTCATGCCTGGTGGTATTGTAACAATGTAGATAAAAACCAGCTGAAAGTTCTACTAAATGTCTGTGTGCTCTTCTCTTCAAAGGATCTGCTAGCCCCTTTGGCAGGCTGAGCTGACACCCCACATAACGGCCCCTCCATGCCACACCACAGTCTGCAGTGATGAATAACAGTACCAATGGGGACTCGGGAGTTCCAGTGACAGAATGACACAATGTGACAGAGTGGGTAGAACCAGCTCTGAAGTGTACGATGCAGCAAGGGATGTTTGGCTTCGATGAAGAAGGTGGTGGATGTTCGTAAGGTAATGAGGAAACCATCGCTATGTGGACACAAGTATGCCTTATCACGAAACTTGCTGTAACATTTTGTTTAATCACTTGTTACTGAACATATTACAATTCTAATAATATGCTCCCTGATTGCTCCTCTCCAAATTTTGCAGGGGCACAGTCAGAAATGTTTTGAAGGGTGCACCTCCTTGATGTGAAGTGGGGCTGGGCAGCCAGACGTGGTCCAGTGCCACTTTGTGTTCTGTTTACCATGCCAAAAACAATTTCGGTGAGGGGGGGGGGGGGGGGGGCATGGGGCGGCTTTCTACAATGCCACTGACGTTTGCACAACCAATTTTTCCAATACTGCCTGGTGAGACGCCCATTTTGCATTTTACGAAAAATTCTTCCCACAATTTCCTTTAAATGAACAAGCACAGTTATTACAAATCAAATTCAGATGCTTCCCAGCTCTCATGATTTTTTTCCCTAATTTTGGTTATTATGCTATGCAAGTTGTGCCACCATGAACATTTGGAGTAATTTGATGTTTATCCTTTATCACACTGAGCTTTGATAACATGACCTTGAGAATGAGTGACATGAGCCACCATTGTACTATGTATCTTGGAGGTCACAGTATCAGCACAGTCATACATTCTTCAAGCAGTGGAAAAGACAGCAAACAAGAAGAAACAGAATTCAAGTGCAGACCACCAACCAATTTACTGAAACTTTTGTACTGAAATAATGTGCATACCCTCACAATTGCATACCCTCACAATTCATGCCATGGCACTGACACAACAAAATTAGTGAGACTGCACCTATCATCAGAAATGCCTGTGTCACTGACACAGACCTTATTTCTTTTCTGAATAAAATAAGTTTTAAGCTGCTAGGGCCCATATCTTACGGTCCTTCAGAAATTATTTTAAAAAAAGGAAACAGTCCCTAACCGCAGGAACACCATGGATGGACTAATTCGACCTTTTCTTTTGATTATAAGCTGATGCTCTTGTGCCTGGTCATCTATGCAGTATCTCATCTATTGAAAGAGCGCACTGGTACGGCCGCTGCGTGCTCCAAAACCAGCGTGACAGGTCCAATTCCCGAACCACTGGGGGGGGGGGGGGGGGGGGCAGTTTTTCGCAAGGCCTATGGAATTGCATGCGTGGCGCGCTTGCGGTAGTTTGTTGAGCGCGGTGCATCTTGGTGTGACCCACGAAATCTCTTATATTATGCGTCTGGCATTTGCCCACGAGGTAATTACTGACCTTGCCTTTAGATACCTGCAGCCCTTGCAAATTTATAGTATTGTCTTTCCTGAGATGACACTTTTTGGCACACCGTGTACTGGAAAACATGAAAAATATTCAAATTATGTTTTTTTTCATATGCTTTTAGCATATAAAATTTATTAACGTCTATTGTCAAGTGTCCAAGAAAATTATTGTCAGCATTTGGGCTGAGAAAACGCAAAAGTCTGAACAAACGTCACAAAAATCAAAATATGTTATTTTATGACTCTTCATAAATAGAACGACTTTGTCACGCATTCGTGGCATATCATTCAGCTACATGCATGCACATTTTCTTTCAGCTCAAAGCAAGAAGCTGGTTCTGAAAAAAAAAAAAAAAACACACATCAGGTGTTCAGCATGCACAGGAACAATCATTGACTTTTTACTAGATAGCGCTTCGTAGTCTACCAAATACGCGATATGTCATCGCTGTGATGAATTAGATTTAAAAAAAAACACTGGTTAGAACAACTGAGTGGGTCACTGTGTGACAAAACACCACCTAATTTGCTGCGGCTGCTGCCCAGAGGGAGTCAGTGCCACTATTTCCCGTCTCCCGCCCCGCCCCGCGCGCTGCAGCGACCGCGACTGACCCTACGGCAGACACGCACTCTCCCATAGAAAGCCGCACAACGCGGCAAGCCGTGCCGTGCGCTCTTTCATCCAGCGGTTCATGATCATACCCATATGACTTTGCATGACTTTAGAAGTAGCCACCAGAGTGCTTGTCACCACTAAAAAGGACTTATGCGACACCATGGTGACAGGGCAAAGAGCACAAATTGGCCTTGTTGCATATACAGCCTGAAGTCATGACATGATACCTGTCGCCAGTGTTGACAAGCTAGAAACAGAACTGATGCTGAGCAATCATGAGAAGCATGTGAATGCAACGTAACGAGATTGCATGGAGCGGAGAATCGCGAATACCAATGATATGTCTTATCAGCTTAAACAACACCTGTACATGTTGCTTTGTGTAGCAAGAAAGGCACTATTCGTATGAAGAGCGAGTCCTGTTCGTGAGCCTTACTAGCCATCTCGCTGTTTAAGGTGGGACAAAGGTCCTAAAATAGTAAACATGTACAAAAATGTTGACTTTCAAAAATTATAACTCGAGGCATTTATAGTCAAACTACGCTCTGGAAAAATATGCTATAACAAGTACCTTCTCTTTCTCTAACAAGTGCAATAGATTAGATTACGAATGTTTTTAAAATTTGAAACAATTTTCTTGGCTTTGTTATGTTTGTGAAATGAATCTGCCATACTGAAGTTTTGAGGAAGTTTCCGTGTACATATTTAAACAAACTTGGTATCATTCTCTTTCACTGCAGGCTATTAACCTTGATAGAATAGTAATCAGTTGATAAATACCAGGTTAATTCACAGGAAGCTCAATGTATGTATGACAATACAAGAATCCTATTTCTTACAATTTTTTTTTTCAACGTCAATCACGACCCTTGCATAAATAAGTTACTCAAATGGTAGCAGGGAATCAACTCGAGTACAAAGTCCCCACTGACACATAGAATAGAATACCTTACTGCCAAGTAGCCAATACATCTTTATCCCCATTCAGAGCAACTGAAAATCATGTGAACTTTCCAGAAGAGACCCTTCATCTATTGTCTTCTAGCTTTTAAGGCATGTACAATGCCGTCCACTTTTAGGGCAAATGCGGCTCAGTGTGCTCGCACTCTCCAAAGAACTAGTGCATCCAGTGCGGCTGCACATCAAAGCAAAAGTGGGGCAGGTGCACAGAGACTCAAGGGAGGTACTACATCAGATCATCTGCTGCCGTGATAGAGTGCGCCGCTTTTCCTTAATTATAATGCAGCAAGAGCATCGCATACCCGTGCATCGGCGCCATTTTGTTTTGATGCGCAACTGTGCTAGATGCACAGGCACTTCACGAAGCGCGACACGATGAGCAGTGTTAACCCTAAAGTGGATGGCAGTGTAGTTAAAAGCACCTCTTAAGCCTTGAGGGGTGCTCAACAACTCTTAAAAATATGCGAGGTTTAATGTACCAAAACCCACCATATGATAGTTTGCAGATTAATTTTAAGACATACCTTTCGCTTCCTTGTCTAACTCCGTAATCATGAAATGCAATTCGCTCCCTTAGTTACTTAGCAATGCAATGTCATCGGCAAAGCGCAGGTTACTCAGGTACTCTCCATTAACTCTTATTCCTAACTCTTCCCACTCTAGGCCTCTGAAAACCGCCTGTGAGCACACAGTAAATAACCTTGGCGAGATTTTATTCCCTTGCCTTACACCGTTCTTGAGTGATATTCTATCACTTTTTATGAACACTATGATGGCTGTTCATCCCCAGTAGATTTCTTCCAGGATGTTTACATATGCTTCGTTGACGCCCTGATTTCGCAGTGTCTGCATTACTGCTAATATTTCTACTGAATCAAATGCTTTCTTGTAATCAATGAAGGATATATGTACACTGTCTGCTAATGTCCGAACATTAGCAAAACATGAACTACGAAGGGCATCTGGAAATCTCGTAAACTGAACAACTATATTCTGTCAGTGACGTACTGAACTTACACGAGTGTTTATGTACTTTAGAAATGCAACCAAGACTGTCATAGTCGCAAATAAGTAGCACACTTTTGGCGTGCGATACTCGATCGGTACCAAGAGACCGGCACTGCACCAGTATCGATTTTCTCTTTCTGGCTACCTGCGGGCTGCCAGATGCCAGAGCCAGCCAGAGGGCATTCGTTTTTTCGGGCTGCTCCCCCCCCCCCCTGCAGCGCACTTTCGGTTGGCGTTTGTTATTCACGGTTGGACGGCTTTGGCTACCCGCGGGGAGCCAGAGGGTCGCCAGATGCTTCCAGAATAATTATCGTGGAAGCTCTCAGGAAGGTTTCGTGCT